AGTTTTTTGGAATGTATTGAACCTGGTCCTTCATTGAGGAACTTTTTATGAGTAAGTATAGTAAGTATGGAATTCGCTCTCCATCTTGAAAATTTGAGATAATTTAATTCACCACCCAAAAAAATTCAACAGTAACTGAGGGTAATAATTTAAGCAAAGTTTAGAACGCAGTGGTGTAGGGTATCACATGGTCGACTTTGATGACTGTAGCCTTTTTCTTCTCTTTTTTTCTGGATGGATAGGAACATTCAAAGAATACAGCAAAGCAAAAGAAATGAAATCAAAGAAAAATCATGTTTTTTAAAACTCAATTTATTTCTGTTGTTTTTGTTTTTTAATTTACATACAAAACATTTTCCAATTTATATTTTCAATATAAACTAAACAAAGGTTTACAACATTTGAAATTAAATAAAAAATAGAAGAAACATATCGTCTTGTTTTAAAGATGAGAAAACAAATTATTTTTGATTTACACATTATTTGAGATTTTGTGGTTTTCGTTTTGTTTTTTTATTTTTCACTTTTGATGAAATTATTTACAACAAAATGCAACAAAAACAAGCATACATATAATATGATATATTTTTTTATGTTTATCGGATATGAATATTGTATGGATTTTATTCGTTTACGATTTACATCATCAAAAGAAAAGAAACATTAACAGAATTTAGGACATACGCAGTGTGTGATTACAAATATATGTTGACAATAACAATTTATTGATTTTTTTTTATTTTTTTTTTTTTAACTTAAGTACATTTATGGGATGGGGACAAAGATAGATAAGCCAGGGGGTGTGTGTGTCAAATAAAATATATTACATTCTGTAAAAAATATAATATAACTTCAGAATTTATTTGCTGTTGTAATTGTTAATGTAATAAGTTTGGTAAGTGTTTTCGAATAATTTGTTAATTATTTAGTCCTTTTTCTCTAATTTATGAAAAAATGTTAGAAATTTACCCTGAAATTCACTTTTCAAATTGTCGATGCAAAACGCAAATCTAGTCGATTTTTGCATTTTCATGAATGGGGTATAGGTCGCACAAAAATTGCGATCTATAGAAGTTAGAAAATGGACTAGTCCAATAAAACTGCTGAAATAAAAACAAGTGGCTATTTTCGAAACAATTTAAAATCCCTAAAACTAGTCTGCAGATTTTTTGCTCAAAGCTAAGGAAACCTCCAACATATTTTTAGTTGCGTCGCATCTACAGATTTTAAGTTTTTGTTTACATTTTGCGCACCCGGCTGGCGACTTAGAATAGTTTATATCACGAATGAACTAGTTTACTTTATCGCTTTTATAAAACATTTAATTGAACTATATCTTCGACCGGGCCGTAAATTTTATACCCTTCACCATTCGGAAGGAACTTGAAAATATTCAAAAGAAATTCCGTCGAAAATTTAAAAAAAAAATCCGGCTATCCGAATACGATGTGCTGGATAAGTAATTTTTTGTGATAGGCTGTAGTAACCATTCCGACCTTAAAGTACGAAATTTGACACAATTTCGGTGAATAATGTCGTAAATATTATCAAAATATCGAGTAAAGAGTCGTACCGTTGTGTGTTGGCTATGCTAAGACGTGGAACTGCATAGACATAGGTTATAGTGCTGATTATGAACTAAAACTACGAAATTTGACGCAATTCCGGTGAATAATGTCGCGAAAATCGTGGAAATAGCGAGTATCTCGGGGTAGCGTTATATGGCTGCTATACTGAAACGTTGACCTATGTAGACAATTATATAGGGGCTATGCGATATCGTGGACCGATATAGTCCATCCTCGAACTTGACCTGCCTGCAGACAAAATACAGATCTGTGCAAAATTTTAGCTTCATATCTTGATTCGTTTTGACTGTAGCGTGATTACAAAAGACGTACGGACGGGTAGGGCTAAATCGTCTTAGAATTTTACGCTGATCAATAATATATATACTTTGTTGGGTCTAAAATTATTATTTTGACGAGTTACAAACGAAATGACAAGCTTAAAATACCCTTCATGCTATGTATGGTGGAGGGTATACAAAATGTGAACTATAAATGTAACTGTCGCTGCGTTTAGCCGCAGTTCGCTATATCGGACCATATTCCTAAACTCTGAAGCCAGTGCTCTTATTAACCATGGAAATGTTAAAGGCCACCAATAAAAAATTACAGTAACAATCGCTTCAGGAAATTTCCTACGTTTGCTTAGTGGCAGAGAGTCTTATTGTCCAGCAGGAAATCAATGTATACCCTCAGCCAGTGTCCGACTATTTCAGAGCACAGATTTGCTCGTTTTCACTCGGGAGTGAAACTTGCTGGTGAGTGGGAGTTTTATATATTCACTATTATTTTTTTGTCTGGGAGTGCTACCCAGTCAAACCTGTTTGAAAAATTAGAGTGGGAGCTGAATTGCTCATAATAGAGTGAGAGTGTGCTCCAAAAGTTATATTGAGTGAAAAAAAATATTTGTTTGCCGATTTGTATGTGCGTAACAGCAAACCTGGTAATAGCAAAAACAAAAAGAACATGCGTCAATAGCAGGACAGCATATACCACCCACCCTCGTATTAGTTGCCCACGTAACCGACAATTCTGGCTTCGACAATATGCCGTTTACACATGTAGCGAATAATTCGTCTTCACTTGGTAAAGTCGGTCACATATAGTGTTCGGTTTGGGGTTTTGCCAAGAGGGTAGTTAGTGATTTTCTGAATCAATTTTTCTTCTACCACTGACAGAATTGGATCTCATAAGGTTGAGTGGCCGATTTTTCCTTTACACAGGGGCTTCGGTTTATAGCTCCGCAGGAGATGAGGCTCGCTGTTTCGCAGGAACCTCGGCTTATTGTACCATATCGTAGGTCAAACATTGTTAGGTAATTAGAGGTAGTCAGTAACAGTAGTGCTATCTAGAATAGTGTCCTAGCCATTGTAGACTACTCAAATAGCTAAATCCAAACATACACATAGTGAGCTGCCGAACACGAATGAGTTGCGATCGATTTCAGATGGTCTAGACATCCGCTGCTGAACATATCTACAGCGAGCTAACGAACTCGAACGAGCAGCGACCCATCTTAGAAGGCCTGGACAGCTGCTCCCGATCGTACATAATGTGAGCTTCAGAACCCAAACTAAGACAACCTGGACATCTTCTTCCGAGTACCTCTACAGTGAACTGCTGTCCTCGAACGATTAAACCACGAGTTCTCAACCCGTCTCCGAAGAGCTGGACGTCAACATCCCAACTATCTTCATCGTATTCCCTGATTATCTACCACTCGTCAGCCCGACGACCATTCATTGAGGTACCCGATTACCTTCAGATCGTCGCCATCCGACGATCATCTACGAGTACCCGATCATCTTCGACTCGTCGGTAACCTGAACAATATCCCCGGCTAATCACACTTCACATTAATCACCCGAATACCGATCGTGAACATTAGTTCCCGATTATCCATTAACCGTTCACCCTCCGAATATCAACCCTAGAATCCGCGATTGCCTAAGAAACATCGTAAACGTGGATTTCCCCCCATAATTAATCTTCACAACTAAAGGTTTCTATTATTTTTGCTCCCTGGAGTGCTTCTGTCCGATTTCGATCGAGTTCCACTCTTTATTCAAATACGAGTGAGTTTTTTCGAGATCTGCTTTATTTGAATATATTTTGACCTGCATTTGGATTATAAAAAATATTGACCCATTTTTTGAAAAAGTTGATATTTTGTACGGGAGGCCCCAAAAACAATTTTTCGATATACAAAGTTTACAGATCATAAAATCAAAATGTTAACTCTTTATGGGGTAGGTACCAAAAAGAGATAGATATAGTTCCATATTCCATATTTACATTAGATATACCGTAGATGGTAATATTGAGATACCAGCTGTTTTAAGAAAATCGCCGGCTTCTTCTGCATGCATAAGGGATATAATAGTCAAAGCCAAAGGAGTGCGGGGAAAGTACAAGAAGTTGCGGTCGGTTCTATCTGTTTTTCACACAACACCTAAAGTCGGTAGAAATATCGGGATGTGCGAAATATTAATTTCACATTTTATAAGTATTTTGATAATACACAATTTTGATTCTTTTGTGGGGAGGTACTAAAAGGATGGTCCACCTCCATTGTCTTTGACCAATTTCAATTCTGACGTAGCACTGATACAAATATAAGAATTTGCAAAGATCGGACGATCTTTTCCCTTTCTCTGAGGTATTTTTTTTTGTTTGAAAATTTTGACCTTTTGTTAAGGGGAAGGTGATAATGGTAAAACTATGCCCCAAGTTTGTACCAAATCGGAAACTCCCTTTGAATGTCATCGTTAGTGCCAGCCAGAGAGACGGACCTAGATTGACTCCAAATGTCCTGAAATGAATTTGATCCAAAGAGACCTATGGTCTAAAGCCGTTACGCTCCGCAGCCATAGGGTTGAGGGCATGAAAATATAAAATATATTTTTTATTTTTTAATCATTTCTTTCTATTTACCAAACTTATTTAACATTATCAACAAAATATCAATTGTTTTTAAGGCATTCTCGAGCTAGGGAGTGTTTTTCTGTGTATGTCTGGGGTAGTGGTGTGTGTGTGTGTTCGGAAATAAGAAGCAGGTGTAACAATTCTTGTAAATATGTACGTATGTATGTGTGTGTCTAGGTATGCTTGATTTTAACAAAAATAAAAACTAAAAATAAAACAACAATTATTATTTTGTTAAACAATAAATTAACAGTTTTCTTCTTTTTAAAAACATTGTTTTCTTTTTTAATATATATTTTTTATGAAACATGCCTTATAGTTAAAATTCGATTTAAAATGATTTTAAATTTATTTATTTTTTTGTTTTTTTTTTTTATCTTATTATGGGAAATTATTTATGTTTTGTTGTTGTTGATTTTTAATTTTAAATTATATATAAATTCTTATAAAATAAATACATATGTTATTTGTTGTCTTCGACATATGTTTTTTATATATATTTATTTATATATATATGTTATGTACTTACAATACTATGTACTACATATATATTTTTCCAAACATATATGCACATGAATACGTCCAAAGTTTGTGGTTGGTTGTTTGGGGGTAATTACCTTAAAATTAAGGGGGTAGAGGGGGAAGGGTTTGTGGGTTTTTTGAATTCTGAAAATTAGTTTCCTTAACTTAATTGCTAATCCTTAATTTGTTAACTACGTCATAGGTTGTCATGTTGTTTTGAATTTTTTTATATTCTTTTTTTAAACCTATTCTTATATCATCTGTACGGTACGTCTAGAATATATAACATCCTTGGCTCACATTTTAGTTGGTTAATTAATTCGGTTTGTTTGTTTCGGTTTCATAATTTCTAAAATTGGGACCGATGGGAGAGGCAGATTATTTGATGGGGGGTGGTGGTGGGGAAGATGAAATGTTTATGCTCTAACAAATCACACCTTTACTTAGATTTGATGGGAATTAAAAATTATTTTTTTTTTCGTTTGGTTTGTTACGAAGTTTGTTAGTTTGCGCAGAATGCATAGAGAGGGCGCATTGTTCAATGCATTTTGAAGGAAGATTTGGATTCGTTAGTGGTTTTAGCGACAGAATTCTACATAGCCATTCTTTGTTATTAACATCAATCATCCATATTAGCCTCATCATCATGATCATCATTGCTGTGATTATGAACTTCGTCATCATCATCAATGGTCTTTAGAAAGTCCTATATTTGTTATGATTTTTGTTTTGTTTTTTTATTTTATTTTTGGTTCATGCAAATTTTGTTAGTAAAAAAAATTTTAATTGTTTTCCCAATTTTGATTTTTTTTTGTTATTTTGGTTTCGAAACACACACAAAACATAAATCATGTTGGCAAATTAAAATCAAAAAAATGAAAATTAAAACAAAACAAAAAAGGAAAAGAAACAGAAATTAAAATAATTGATTAGTAGTTAGTTAAGCCTTATTTTTGTTGATAGAAAGAGAGAGAAACCCTAATATTTAATTTTTTGTTTGTTTTTCTTTCAATTCAGCTCACATCTTCATAATTATCATAATTTCAATACATAATTACACATAATAATCATCATCATAATTATAATAATCGTAATAATAAGAAAAAACTAAAATAAAACAAAATAATGTTGGCATTTACTCATCCTCCTCCTCCCGGAACAAATAGGTGCTCCAGTAGACCAAATTGAACAGGGCAAAGACCAGGGGAAACGTTATTCGTGATATAACATCGATCCGCTTCGATCTAGAACATTGTCTTGAATAAATATTTGGAAGGAATTTGCTGATTAATTATCACATTTTAGATTGGCTTTTTTTCGGTGTATTGATTTGTGTTGGTGGTTGTAAGCAAAAATATATTCCAGCAGGGGTTTTTTATGAACATTTATTTAAATAATTTGTTTGTTTTATGTTAATACGAAAAACATTTAAAAATTTAATAACATTTCAAACGAAATAAGAGCATTTATAAATTACACATAGATATATGTATGTATATAATTATTTAATATTAAAGTTTATTTAAAAATTAAAAAATAAGTGTTGTTCAGAACTCTACACCATATTTGTAGGAAGGCTTAAAAATGTTATAAACTTTTGTCGTTGATTCGTGTAGAATGTGGATAGTCTATCCGATAAGCCCAATTTTGGCAAAAAGTTTGGCCGGTATCTTACAAGTAGATGCTTCAATGTTGTCTTCCAAGGCATCAATTAAAGTGGGCTCGTCTGTATAGACATGAGCTTTATACTTTGCGGGGTCTTAAATGCCCACTGGAATGAAAATCTTAATGAATAAGATGACAACACGCGTATAAAAAGTGTGTGATTGCACTACACATTGGGCGCCATATTTCCCAAACACTCCTTCGAATTCGTTCGAAAATTGTGGATGTTTAAGAAATGCAATTTTGTCAAAACATGTAGCTGTATTAAAAACCAGTAAGGAAAAGTCAAATGTAGGGCGGGGCCGACTATATGATACCCTACACCACTATGCATATTTAGTAGAGCTCCCGTAACAAACGAATTTATTTGAAGTAAATCATACCACCTATCAATATATGGCTTTAGAGCAGTTATAGTTTGGTTTCAGAGGCAACTAATAATATATAGGTGGCATATCCAATCCTGATTCGATTTTCACTATTTTAATGTTTTGTACCACACAACATTGCTATAGTGTGCCTGATATCACTTCAAGGACAATTATATTAAAATATTATATATCGGAGCCGAGTTCCACAAAATGGAAAGGTACGTCCCGAAATTCACTGCATTTTGGCTAATATTAGCCATTATTTGCACAATAAATCTGAAATCGGATTAAGGATATATGTGGGAGCTATATCCAAATCTTAATCGTTCTCGATGAAATTTGGCGAAAGTATTTCTGAGCTCTATAAGATATATTGTACCAAATATCATTGTTGTCGAATAGGAAGGACTTAAACACCAAATTGGATGAAATATATGTATGGAAGCTATAGCTATATCTGAACCGATTGTCCCCAAATTTGAGGTACTTGCTTCTAGACTGAATTCGGTCAGATGTACCAAAATTCAGGTCATTAGATGGATATTGGCCATTTGGAGCACAATTAACCCGAAATCGGTTGAAGATATATGGGAGCTATATCTAAATCTGATCCGTTTATCACCAATTTCAATAGGGTTCGTCCTTGGGCCAATCAAGTATTGTTTGCAAAATTTCATCTCAATCAGATAATAAATGCGACCTGCATTTTGTTCACAAGAATACATGGACGGACGGACAGACGGACTGACATGCATACATCGACTCAGAAAGTGATTTCATAGAATAGTCTTCAGAAGAAACTATGGGTCTATCTCGCTTCCTTCTGCCTGTTACAAAACAAATGGTGTAGGGTACAAATATATAGAACTGCGATTTTTATTATAATTAAGAACTCAATAGATTTTTGCAGTCAATTCGTTTGGAAACTAAATTTCAAACCTTATTCTAAAACCTAGACCCACAATTTTTTTTTTTTTTTTGGTAAGAGAACTACTGTCAAGATTTCAAATCAGGAAACCAATACCACCTAAGCTTAAAAGGTACGTGGTTCCTGCAAACCATTTAAAATAAGTCTGTACTGTAATATTGACTGTTTTCTACTAAAAATGGGGTTAACAATTGTTTCTGAAAGCTTGAAAACTGGGAAAATTTGGATTTTTTCCATATATTGTAATTATTCAGCAAAGAATGCTTAAATCATCTGTGAGTTAAAAATACTAAGTCACAGTTAAGCAGTTGGAATATGTGTTTTTAATTTCAGAATACCTTAACTCGGGAGCTGTTATTAAATGAAAAACCTAAGAAATATTTAAAGGTTTTGCGTAGGGAATAAAGAAAACTAATGTGGCCTTCCAATTATTGTGTAGTGTGAATGTCACATGATGTTAGCTGTTGGGCTAACACGTTGGGCGCCATTTAATTCAAATTAACGATATTTTTAAAAGAAGTGGCTAAAATGCCGCTTAATTCAAACAAGTTGTAGTAACTGTTATGACTTTTTGATATCTGGTATTTATTTATATAGCTTTCATATTACCGTGAAGTTGACAGGGGCTATACTCACTGGGCGCCACTTAATGGTTATAAATGATATTTTAAGAAACCCTCCGTAAAATCGAATGCAAGTGGAACATTAATATTTCTGTGCGTAAATTTCATTGAAGATATGGTGTTATATTACACCGTCGGTAAAAAGTGTTGCAAATGGAAAAATAAAATTAATGTTGGCTTTGTCATATTGTGTTGGTTAGAAAAGTCTAATAAAGTAAACCAATTCACTCATTCGGCGCCATTTGATGAAGAAACTGGCAAAATATTGTAAAATGTAAAGTAGCCCAATTTGCACCATTCTATTCAGTTCATTTATGTGTAGCTTCTATCTAACTTGGTATGTGGTATGTTGAACAGTATTTCGAAAATCACACTACGTGCTTTTTTTAGTACCAGATCCCATAGTCTCATGGAGGAAGTGGACTAGCAGAGGCTCTAATTTATTTTCCAATAGCTTCTGACATCTTTATAATCGTTTTTTGATTGACACACTGCTTCTATTTTGCTTGAATCAGTCTCTAGGGACCCCCACATGTAGCCAACAGCCAAGAGTGGGATTGCCGATGTCGAATTGCTTAATGTGTATATCCTTCTGGTTAAAAGGTTAATAAGCTAACTTCCGGTACCAGGAGATTTCAAAGTCAATCATAAGTTGTGACATTCCATCTTATGCAACAATCAGAGAGGTTCGGTGTTGGCAGAGCAGATTGATTGCTAAAAATTCATTATCATTATCAGAGCTGTAGTCGCTCGTCTTATGCCTGGGATTTGACACCCGAAAAATAAAAAAAAAATCCAGCAGGGCACGGAATTTACCTGATGAAAAGCTGGGTAGACCATCTGAAGTGTTGCAACACGGGATCCGATGTGAGTAAAGCGCTAAATCACTCTTAATCCCTATGAAAGTTGACTGATCCGAAGAGGCATGCTGGCTATAATAACCGTTATTTCGTCGAGCATTTCGAGAGAGATAAAGTGATGCAAAGAGTTCTGCGTCGTAAAAATGTCTTCTCGCCGGGAGTTAACACCAGTTTACTATGGGTGGTGTTAAAAATATCCGACACTAAATCATATGCCACATTCCTCACCACATGGTCTGCGGAGGTGAAATTAGAGCTGAATAGTTGGGGGAAATATAATACCGACAATGAACTACTCCAAGATCCTCGTGGTCACAAAATGAAAGGCGTAAGCCAGCAGCACTTGTGGTGCAGTATTACATGCAAGTGTTTGCGTTCTGCTAATCTGATTCCAGCTCCAGGTTTAGAAATTCAGCTACTTTGATGGGCTGATCGGCCAGAGATCTTCTGGAGTGAGTTGGATAGGTTTGGCTGTGCAATTAAAGAGGTTCAGAGTATTGTGCGCGCCTGCAACACATGCCGGGCAGTCGTCACGCACATCTTCATCAGTTCGATGAATACCAAACCGGATACCAATCTGTTGGACTATTGAGCCTGGAGTATTTTGGAGAGCAAGGTTGGCACTGAAAAATACCAAAGTGTCGATCACCTCAAGCAAGCGTTTCGCCGGGAATGGGTCAAATTAACGCAGAGCAACATTCGAGCAGCGTGTGACGGTTTTATTGGTCGTTTGAAGGCCATAATTCGTGCCAAAGGTGACCAATTCGAACAAATCTCAACTTAAACTAAAATTTGATGCTATTTTCGACATTTTTTGCTTTCATTCAATAAAATTAATAAAAATGTAAAAATCATGGCGTTTGACTTTGTTACAGTTTTGTTATCCCACCCTGTAGAGAGAATCAAATACTTAATCTCTGTATCTTGTAATTTGTGCCATTTTTAAATATTTCGTTTTAAAATGTTCTATTAATTTGCTGATATTCGGAACGAGTGGAAATATTTACCATTAGTAAAGGCCCAACACAACCGGTATGGTTACTCTTTTGACATTTTTTGTACATTTTACATAGAAAAATTAGTTTCTTTCCGGACCACCCGAAATTATATCGGAATGCATTTCTGAGAGTTTGTCTATCAAGACGTATATATGTACATTCATAAATATGGTGTAGAGTATATTAAATTAAAAAGTTATGTTAATGTATTTGTATCAAAAACCGAAAACTTTATAAAATATCAATTACTGGTTTATGCATAACAAAGTTTATAATTTGGTTTAACATTTAATTATTCTCAATGAAAAGCAAACAAATTGTTAATATATTTCAAGCATATCAAAAACTTTAAGCAACTTTAATTTTTAATTTCATAGAAAATATCAATAATTGAGTTACCAAAGTTCAGGCAAACGAAAATGTAGAGCAAAATAGAGAGATAGCATTAAAAAGGAATCAAAGAAAATAATACTTAAGCAGTTTACACAGGCATTAGGCGGGATAAAACCATCAATCAACGTTTGGAATGAACATTTTCAAAAAGATAATTATTATTATTTTTATTGACATTAAAGCAGAACAAATCTCAACAGCAAAAAGAAAATCTAAAAGTGATAAAGAAAATTCATTAAATGATGATTAAATGGCGAAAACAAAACGAAAAAAGTTATTTGGCATTCACATTTCACGCAAAAACGAACAATGAACGATAAATTACAGTAACAACGAAAAGGACCTGGCTGGCTTACCTTGTGGGGAACTTCGATAGCCACGTCTTGCAGCAGTTGGGACGCTTGGGCGCCTGCATATGAACTTCACATTGCCTCAACTTTTCCAGTGCCAATGGATCACCCGGATGACGTACCAAAGGTTTCTAGGTTGATTGTGAGAGTTGTTGTTGTTGTGATTCAGATGAAATATTTGTTACCAATCATTTTCCAATTAACATTAGTGAGCGTTATTTTTTCGAGTATTTGTTTTTTTGATTTTTACAAATTTATTATTTTTTTTTTGTTAATTTTTGTTGTCGTTGTTTTTGTAATGATGATTGTTGTCATTGATTGATGGCGATGATGGTGATAGGTAAATGGAAGGCGTTTTGACGAATGTCATTTGGGACACATGATGATTGAGATATACACAGAGGAGCATGAAGATGTAGGCAAGAAAACAAGTAGGTTAAAAGATACAAAGAAGAGGTGATTATGTTTTAGTAAGAATTATTTTTCGATTTGGCCAATATTTTATTTTGATTATTTCGAATAGAACACAAAATAAAAATCATGAGTTGTAATTGTTAAGTAAATATATATTATGGAAATGTTTGAGATGATGGTGAACAAAAATATATTTAAACAAAAAAACAAGCATGAATGACTTTGATATTTAAAAGGGGTAAAAACCATTTCTTTTTTGCGAGGTAGCTCCTCTGTTTTAGCTGAGCTTTTTATGGTAAAAAAATAAGGGGCTCTTTGATTACTCTTTATTCGACTTTGGGTCTTCTTTCGAAGCCGCGGACCCTATAAGAATCCTGCCATGTTGTAATGTCCCAACACTCGTCGGAGATCAGCCAAGAGATTTTGCTAACCGATGGTAATATCTCTAGTACCCATACTTTCTTTAAAAAGAGACCCTTGATTGATACTTTTTCTATTGATGTTATCGGAGTTATTATAGGAAATTACGTGCCCAACGTCTTAACTGATGCTTTTATACACGATTCGGAGTATCTTTTGATACAATTTCACGCCTTAAGGTATTGATTCTGTTTCTTCTCCAAGAACTTCAACTTCAGTAATCGGGTCTTCTCTAACCTTTTCGTCCTCACATTCGATTTCATTCCGTGTCTCCATCGAACAGGTCAAGCGCTCTGCTTCCTGGCTAGTCGTTTTCACTCCTTCATTATCCACTATTGTTTCAACAGCCTCAATCAGAACCCTTCTCCACTATTCGTATATAGTAGAGCTCCCGTAACAAAAAAGTTTTTATTCGGAATTTATGTGAAGTAGATCATACCAACTATGAACCTTATTTGAATACATATCATGGGTTTAGAGTAGTCACAATTTGGGAATTATATTCAACTCTGAACAGATTTTCAACAAATTTGATGGAGGATTTTGTACCTCTAGTACCAAAAAAAACATTTCTGTATAGTGCATGCAAAATATTTATTGGAGAAATATATATACCGGACCGAATTTCACCAAATGGTACAATTCTGTTGAATTTGAAAACATCTATCCGTTTTGGGCTGATATTACATGTAAAGTGAATAATAACCGTAAAATCGGATGAAGATGTGCACCGAATGTATATAAAAATCTGAACCCATCTCGATAAAATTTGACTGGGGTATTTCGAACAGTATCTGATTTCCATCTCGATAAAATTTGGCTGGGGTATTTCGAACAGTATCTGATTTCCAGTATCAAATACTACTGTTGTGGAGTGCATATTTCGCATATGAAGGACTTAAACGTCAAATCGGATGAGCTAAAGTTATATCTGAACCGATTTTCACAAAATTTGATGTATTTGCTTCTAGACTGAATTCGGTCGGAAGTGCCACAATTAACTCTATTTAGGCTGATATTAGCCATTTGGTGCACAATTAACCTGAATTCGGAAAAAGGTATGAATGGGAGCTATATCCAAATCTGAACCGATCATGATAGAATATGGCAGAGTTATTTCTGAGCTGTATCTGATATCTGCTACCAAATATCATTCTTCTGGAGTGCATATTACGAATGTGTAGGACTAAACACTAAATCGGATGAAACATATATATGGGAGCTATAGCTATATCTGAGCCGATTTTCACCAAATTTTATGTACTTGCTTCTAGACTTAATTCGAACGGATGTGCCAAAATTTCAACTGATATTCGCCATTTGGTGCACAATTAACCTGAAATCGGCTGGAGATATATATGGGAGCTATATCAAAATCTGAACCGATATTGATAAAATTTGGCAGATGTATTCCTGCGCTGTATCTGGTACCAAATACCCTTGCTGTGGAGAGCAAATTTCGCATGTGAGGGACTTAAATATCAAATCGGATGAATCATATGTAGCTATATCTGAACCGATTTTCACCAGACTTTATGTACTTGCTTCTAGACTTAATTCGGTCGGATGTGCCAAAATTCGGATAGTTTGGTCTGATATTTGCCATTTTGTGCACAATTAACCTAAAATCGGTTGAATATATACATTTGAGCTATATTAAATTTTAACCGATTCTCACCAATTTCGATAGGGTTCGTTCTTGGGCCAATCAAATATTGATTGGAAAATTGCATCTCAATCGGATAATAAATGTGACCTGCATTTTCTTCAGAAAAATACATGGACAGACGGACGGATGGCCTACATACATGGACTCAGAAAGTGATTCTATGAAGATGCCCAAAAGTAACCATGGGCCTATCTCGCTTCCTTCTCCATGTTACAAACAAATGCTCAAAGTCATAATGCCCTGGTCGAATTTTCAAACTCAAGATTCCCGGGTTTCCCTATCAATGCCTGACTCCAAAATCAGGCGGAAGTTAATTTATAAAAGACCATTAATTCTCTCTTGAACGAATCGTTCATTAGTTTATTTGCCCAGCTTATCAGGCAAAGAAATACTCGTATGTATAATCTACCTCGGCACTGATCCCTTCAAAGCCTTCGGTATGCTCCTTTGCTCGCTGTCACCATCTTTTCTTTGGTTGGTGCCTAGTTTTAATCCGAGTCGTCAATCAGAATTCGCAGCCTCATCTCTTCTATCTGCAGCAGTTTTGAAGCCTTATTCACTTTTCCGCTATCCGTCACATTCATTATAGTCTTCTGTTGAAGTTTTTTTCTAATTCGCTCTCTGTTACTGATAAGGCTCAAAGGACCAATATATCAACATAAAATTCTATGTCGATTTAGCGATGTCCGTTCGTCTGTAGAAATCACTCTAGCTTCCGAACGAAATGAAGTAGGTTGATACAAATGTATATTATGTCTGCAGAACATTTGGTATTTAAAATGTAGGTCATGTAGGTCCACTATTTGGTATAGCCTCCATATAAAGTTACATCCCGATATTCGGTATTTTGATGATTTTAGCGACATTATTCACCGGAATTGTTTCAAATTTGGTATTTGTAGTTCGTAATGGATACCGCAGGCTATGACAGAAAATTGTCTGCGCATGTTCACGTCTTCGTATAGCCCCAATTTAACGGTACCCCTCGATATTCGGTATTTTGATGATTTTAGCGACATTATACACCGGAATTGTTTCAAATTTGTTATTTGTAGTTCGTAATGGATCCTACAGCCTATGACAGAAAATTGTCTGTGCTGGTCCACGTTTTATAACACCCATGGTAGCTCCCTATATTCGTTATTTTGATGATTTTAGCTACATTAAAAACAGATTTTTTTAAGTTTCGCATTTGAATATTGTAATAGCTTATGACAATAGATGTTTATGCAGGTCCACGTCGTCGCATAGACCCTAATATTTGGCTACATTCGGTATTTTTAAGATTTTAACAGAATTTTTAACGGATTTTATTTTTTTGAAAATTGCCAAAATTGTAACAAGTGGTGGAGGGTATTCAAAGTTCGGTCCGACCGAACTTATAGCTTTTTTGCTTGTTGCCTTTTGCTAGTTTTACCATATCACATATATTTTTAAATAATATACATAAAATATCAAAATGACTTTCCATCCATGGTAGAATAATATAGGTAGACGCTTCAACATAGCTGCTGGGACAATGAACTGTCAAACCAATTTCGGAATTGAAAATGTTGAATGAAAAAATATTTAAATTTGTAAAAAATTTAAAAAAACGCGAGTTATAATAACCTCCGAGTGACGTCGTATAAGAAAACATATAAAAATCTACTTATATTTGAAAAACATTTAAATTTTTTTGACATATCAATGCTCCCAAGCGTTGATGCATCTACCTGTATTCTTCTGCCATGTTTCCATCCCTGGGATGCATGATCAATGAATAATTGTTAAGAAAAATAATAACTAAACTAAAACAAAAACAATGCAAAACATATAACATTTAGAGAGAAACACAAATATTTATATGTACCATGGCAAATGTGGCATTGCTATCTGTATCCAATAGATCTGAAGCAGCATCTATACTCGCCTGCTCCAAATCGCGTCGCTTCTTTTTCATGTTCTCCTTGTGCATGTCTGCGGCCCGATCCGTATATGTTGCATTGAGGGGGAAGGAGAGAAATTTGCACAAGAATTTATTTGTTCGACGATAGGGTGGCAGATTTGACAGGTTTTGTTTGTTTCGAAAATTAACACAACATTGTTGCAAAACACACACACACACAGATACAAGTGGTTCAAAATATTGGTGGTAGTAGTAGTTTTTGTTGGTTGTTGAGGTTAGTAGTAACATAGTTGCAATAAATGGTAGTAGTAGTAGATTTGTTTAACAGTTGTTTGATGATAGTAGTGACGATTGAATTGAATTAAATTATGAAAAAAAGGAAATTAATAGAAGAACAACGAAAATTAAAATAAAAATTAATAAAAAGAAAATTTGTCACAATGATCGTCGCGTTACGTGATTAAGGCACGGCGTTACGGTTTTAATATTTACACACACACAAATGGAGATTTACATCCACATATACAGTTACAGAAATAGATAAATTACAGTTAAATAAATTAAATTTCAAATTTATATTTTTTGTTAATTTTTTCATGTTGATTTGTGATGTTGACAAGAAGAAGAAGAAAGGCATGGTTGATCATGAAACGAAAAAATGAAAATAAAAGACAAATAAAGCATAAATAATGGTGCCATAAAGTAAATCATTTTCAATTTATAAAAATAATATGAGTTTGGTTTTTTTAATATAATTATTATTGTTGTTATTGGTTAGTTATTTGTTTTTTTTTTCGCATTCAAAAGCAATTTTGTTGATTTTTTTTTAATTTCAATATTTTGTTATGATTTTAATGAACAATGAACATCAAACAATTATAATGTTTTTTTTTTTTTTAATTTATATAATTTGTATGTACATGTAAAACGTAAAAATAATACAAATGCAATCCACATATATTATAATTGTTGTTATTTGCAAATAAGTCATAAAATGACACAATTAGAGGCAAAACAAAAGGAAAATAAAACACAAAATGACAAACAAAAATAAAATCAAAGCAATTTTGATGTGAGTAAATGATAGTTATGTCAGTGATGTGTGTGAAGAGTCATTTGTTTTTTGGGGGATTTTAATTCATTGATAATTTTTTTTAACAGTGGTGTGCAAAAGTGTTGTCCCATTTTTCAGCGTGATTTTTTTTACATTCAGCGTCCGAGAGTGTGTGGATTGTGGTTTTATTCATTCATTGATTCATTCGTTCATTAAAGTTGTCGTCATCGTCGTAAGTTTTGTTTTTGGTTGGAATCGTTGAAATTCATTCGTCATTCGTTGAAATATTGTTTTTGTTTTTAATTGTTGTTCGTAGTTCGTTATTTATGTACAAAACATCGATGTGCGTTGACACAACGTGGCATAATAAGAAAGGAAATAAAAGAAACTGTGTTAGTTCATAAAATATTTGAAGTTTCTAAAATTCTACATTCATGAAATTCAAACAAATGATGTATGAGCAATTTTTTTGGTGGGCGTTTGATTTGAAGTGTTTGTCTTTTTTTCTGGTTGAGAATCAGAGTTTGATTTTATGAATGGTTACAGAATGCATTGTGGGTTTAAAATGTTCCTTATGCAGTTTGTCAAAACCAGAACAGAATCGAACAATTTTGCTGCAGTCGATTCCGGGTAATATTTTTATACCCTCCATATCATAGTATGAAGGGTATATTAAATTTATGACTCAGACCTAACTAGGTATATACATTCTTAATTAGCGTAAAATTTTAAGACGATTTTACCCTGTTCGTCCGTATGTCTGTAAGTCTGCTGTAGTCACGCTAGAGTCAAAAAGAATTAAGATAGGAAGCTAAAATGTTGCACATATGGTCCACGATATCGTATATTCCCAATATAAAAGTACCTCCCGACATGGAATTTCAATGGAATTGTCTGAAAATCCACACTAGGAGTTCCTTCTGAGTACTTTACCCCCTTGAAGAGAATTGTCTATATACGTCCACGACATCGTATAGCCCCCATACAACGTTACACCCGATATTCGGTATTATGATGATTTTAGCGACATTTTTAGTTGGAATTGTTTCAAATTTCGTATTTGAAGTTCCTAATATGTTCTACCATCTATGACCAAAAATTTGCTCATGCAGGTCCATGTCTTCTTATAGCCACCATATAACGGTATCTCCAGATATTCAGTATTTTGATGATTGTAGCCAATTTTTCAATGGAATTGTCTGAAAATCCACTCATGGAATTCTTTCTGAGTGCTGGAATAGAATTGTCTACATAGGACCACTATAACGCATACACCCCCCCATACAACGCTACCCCCTGATATTCGGGGTATATTTTGATGTTTTTAGGGATAGTTTCTTGCCTATATTTCAGAGTCTATTCCGGTATCGTTTAAAAATACGATTCCGAATTAGGACTCGGATAAAAAATGGCTGAAACACTAGTGGAATCGATGCCGCAACGTTTTGTTGCTTCTAGAATGGCCTTTCTCGCTCTCTCCCTCTCTCTGACGCCAGAGTCTAAATAGAAGTTCTTTCATCCCACGCGAATTTTGAAAACATTAACTTAAAATCTTTTTTATGGTATAATCGAAACGAATGCGAAAATTAAGGTTTATATTGAGAATTTACATGAAGTAGATCATACAAAAAATGATGGCTTTTGAATGCGTATTTTGGTCTTAGAACAGTTATTATTTGAATCCGATATGATCTAATATTACGGAGGTATATCCTATTCTGAATCGATTTCTCCCAAATTTGACGGAGATATTTGTAACTCTCTTTCCAAATACTATTGCCACAGAGTGCATGATATGACTTCGGCAGCGCTTAAATTAAAACATATATATATAGGAGCCGTAGCTATATCTTTATCGATTTCGATTTTCACCAAATTAGGGCTCATATTAGACATTTGGTGCTCAATAAATCGAATATAGATAAAGAAATTGAGAAATTTTAACGGGCTCTTTCTAATTCTGAACAGATGCCCATAACATTTGGCAGAGGTGTTTCTGAACAGTATTTGATATTTTGAACCTAATATAGTTCTTATAGAGTGCATATTTCAGCTCTGGGGGACTTAAACACAGGGTTGCCCATATTCGACGGACCCATGTTTTGTTATGCGACTTGTGTGCGGTGGAGCGCTGTCTAGTTGAAACCAGAACTGCCTCATACGCTTTCGAAGAATAATTGGCATCACAAAATTGGTCATCATGTCGCGATAACGCTCCTGATTGATGGTAACAGCATGGCCATTTTCATTTTGGAAGAAAAACGGCCCAATGACCGTTTTCGCACTAACGCCGCACCAAACTGTGACTTTTTCGTCATGAAGAGGCACTTCTTGAATCTCCTGAGGATTTTCAGTGGCGTAAAAACGGCAATTTTGCTTATTTACGGTCCCTTAGAAGACGTGCGCCTCACATTTTTTAATGTTTTAAAAGCACGTTGAGTTTTCACAATTGACTTCTTCTGTTGAGTGTAAATTTCAACTATTTCAGAGAGCTCGCGTGGCGTGTATTGGTTCATGGTAAAAATCTGCTTGGACTGACGCTTCAAACGCGGTATGTCATTAAGCGATGTGACATCTCTGTCAAAAGTTATGGCGTTGCCAGATGGGTCCGTCGAATATGGGCAACCCTGTATGTATAGGTATATATAAACCATTTTCAAAATTTAGTATACTTGCTTCTAGACCAGAATACAAAAACAGCGGGACGGCCGCAGTGATTCTATTGTGATTCTATTATGGGTCTATCTCGAATCCTTCTGTATGTTATGTATGTTATAAACAAATGTACAAAGACATAATACCTTGTGGTGTGAGGTATACAAATGTTGATCTTTTGTGAAAGAAGTAACAGGAGGAGTGTCATGCGGAACAGTGTCCGCCCCCGACTTAAGTCTGATATAAATATTCCCATATCATAAGTTGTATTTTATCGGATACTGGACTCATTTAAAAAAAATAGAGAAATTCTACTTCGCTGCTTTTAGAGTAGCGCTGCTACAAACCTACTTAAACATCTCTCTAATAATCCAATTTCTTTAATTCTTAATTATTTGCTACTGCTCTCTGAGAAACTTATGGTTATATTCTTGTTTTGTCTCTCTCTTGCTCATAAGCTCACGTGTTCTCCAACTCCCCATTTACTTCCAAATTATTATAATGTATTTCGTATAATGAGTAGTTCTCAATAAGTTTTAAAATAAAATTTTATGTGTTTTATTACAAAATCGTAAAAAATCGTTATCGTAAATACTGTATGGCTGAGGGTGTAAAAATGTAAAAAGCTATCTTTTTGGGATCAAAATGTTTTCTCTAGCTATTATATAAGCTCTTATTAATATGAAAATGTTAAGACGTCTCTTCGTATTTGATTCTAAATTGGTTTCCATTTCGAGTTTTCAATACTGCGATACCATTCGCGGAAAGACTGGAATTTAGCCAAAAGAGCGATGAATTATGTATAGTTTTGACTTTTTATAAATTTGTAGGTTAATAATTATATTTATATATATCAAGTTGCTGATAACTTATACAGAGGCTATACTAATCACAATTAACCCGACATTTTCCGGACTATGGTGTGTACGCGCTCCCTTCGATCGTCAGGGACGTGGGCACGAAGGAAAAAAACTTTTAATACTGCCAAATATTCATTTCTGTAATTCAGAATTCTAACTCACCAACGATGTCGGATTTTTTTTTTATATTTACGGTGGGTGCATAATGTAGCATTTTGACAAGGCAAAGTTAAATCCTTTCAAAAAAGCGAGATTATATATATTTCTGTTAGTACATTTTGTATCTTATCTGTACGATTTCCAAATATCCCACTATGTTCACCATTGATCTTTATGACAACTTTCAATATTTTATCTTCAAGCACTTAGCATGAACATTTATGAAACAGTCACTTCCCAATTAACTGATTCTTTTGTAGAGGCACAGATGTGGAGTGTAGACCCATGAACATCGTTTTCTTTACTTCTTAATTCTTGCCATATTCAAATATAACTAACAAATTTTTTATCTTTCTAAAAAAATGCCCATAATTATAAATATCAAACTCTGATTGCTCATCCAAACGAAAAAAAGAAATCTCAATTTCTTCTTCACATCTTTGACATTTCAATTTTTCTCTGATTATATTGGTGCTTTGGGGGGGCGGTTGTTGATGTTGATTGTTCGAATGGCTGTCGGAATGAATTGAAACGGCGACATGTGTCGGTGTCGATTGAATATAGCTCTGTTATTTTTCGGATTTTCAGTTTATCCATCGCATCATGGAATTTGGTCGAAAAACAATGTCACTGCGTCTCGAATGACATGGATTTTCATATTTTAATCGAATTTCATGTAATTTGTCATCATCTGTCACTTTTTGCCGATTTTCCCATTGTGGATTGGATTGTCAAAAATAAATAAATCGTATTACATTTTAGTAACGTCCCTTCCCGGAGGGTCGGGATCGGTCGGTCTCCCGTTTGGTAACTTGGACATGTAAGTTTAGCTCCATGATTTTGTTATCAAATCGGTCGGTCGGTCAGTCAGTCGGGTGTAAGAAGAATGATGTATGTGTGTATGCATGTAGTGTATGTATGAAATTATGAAAATAATGACATTGGAGAATGGATGGGTGGATTTTGGTGGTTGGTTAGTTGGTGGGTGGGTGGTTGGATGGATGGGTCGTGTTGAATTACGAAAAACAAGTTGTAAAAATATATATATAGTTTGTATGTTTATACAAAACAAATGTATAATATACACATGTAGTATATGTATGTATAGAACAAATATTATTATTATTTTTTGTTTTTTGATATGTGTTTGTGGTGGTAAGTAGTTGTACGTACATAAGAAAAAATAATAATAGAAAACACCATTAATTAATTAAATACAGTTAATAAGAAGCATATAAAATCTCAATTACTAGCTTTATTCGAACCTGAGCGGGACGCATAGTTCACCAGGGCAAACTCGAGCAGGGCGCCGAATACAAACGTTAGACACACACCAGTCCAGACGTCAATGGCTTTGGTGTAGGAGACCGGTGGCAGTGATGCATTGATACCGGATGTCTGCGTTGCCATGGTGAGCAGTGTGGTGACACCTAGAAAACGACAGTGGAACAATGTGAGAACCAACGATTTTGATTGTTTGTTTGTTTGGATGGATGGGTTACAAAAAAAAAATAGAATGTTGTGAATTTCAAGTGTAAAATTCCTAGAAGATTAAAGTGGCTACATGTTTGTTTGTTTGTATGTGAGGGTGTGTGCGACAAAGGCCACACTTGTTATCGAACAAGTCTAAATCAGCTACGAATTTTGCCCCTTTTTTTCTTTTGGAGTTCATTCTAATTGGGATCGATTTCTATCAAATGGGGGGATTTATCTACAAACGTCCGCATACCGGCGGACCGCATAACTTACCTTGATTCTTCGTTCGGACCTAACATGGTGCAAACAAAGTCTAATATTAGCAAAACAAAATTGAAAATATCGCTCACTCCAATTCTCAGCTCAAATCAACGAAAAAAAAAAAACAGAAAACTTTGTGAGATGTCAAACATCTCCACTGAAGACGAGCTTCGTACCTCAAATTTTGAGACAGAAGCCAACATCGTTTGGTCTCCGCCATAGCTACACCATGCCTCTGCAGATAGCAACCAACACAAGAATTGCCCATCTCGCCGGGTGAACATAAATTGAGACAAAACAAAACGAAAAAATGGGGTGGAGGGAGATCCGAAAACTCAAATCTCCCGTGCATTATAGTACAGGTTTTGAAATTTCAAAGAACCCAGATTGTAAGCGGGTGTAATTTTTTTATTTATTTTGGGCTGGGGGAAGAAAACAAAATTTAAGAAAATCACCACAATGCAATGAACCTCTTTTGGTTGCAAAAAAATACAAAAGACCTTTCAATGGATAACTTACCTTGGGTATTGGTCAGGATATAGAGTGCAATGGTTGGGTACCGTTTGTACAAGTGGAGATATCTCTCCAATAAGAGGACTCTGGTACCATGCTATTGAATATAAAAGGGTCTTCGTATATAGTACCATTAAAAGTACCAACTCTTTCATGTGGTTGAAATATTATGAGCTATGACTTGGGAACCTGTAAAGAATTAAATAACAAATTGTGGACAGAAAACATTGCTAAGCTATAATGAGGTTCTTATAACAATTCTTAAATTGTTGTTGGCTTTGATGCTCCATCATCAGGGTTAGGTGTAGCTATGCTAATCGCCAAAATATTCTTCTCTGTTTTTAAATCGTATATCAAACAGTATATATGCAATGTGTTTTATGATACGAAATGAGTTGTTTAATATTTAATCATCAATGACTTAATTACACTGTGCGTCAAAATTCAATTTTTTCAATACTTACGGGAAAATTCAACAGATTATGAAAGTAGAGCTAAAAAAGAAGCCAGGTGTGTCGTCCTTGTGGACGTTTACATCGCAAAATAACCGCACTTTTGGACATTTTCGGATTAAGATTCCTCGGAATTAAATATATAGTGTCTTCGGCAATATTGCAGATGAAAAAATTCGAGAAATAATTTGGCGGGAAGTCAACAAAGGAGTCTTTTTGGACCTTTTTTAAACTTTCTCTAAAAGGATTTTTTTTGCAATTTTTTGTGGTTCATGCAAAGTATTTAATTAAATATTCTTTTGTTCAGAGATTCACAATAAAATTTGATAATAATTCTTAATTTGAGACTTTAACCAAAATATTAAATCAAAAGGGAGATTCTGACTCGTAATGTATACGTGTTAAATTAACAGCAAAAAAAAGTAAACACAAAATTTTCACTTATTGTGCATAAATTTCGAATGTTATTTTCATAAAAATTATTATACCTAAATATATAATTGTTCGAAAATTTTAGTAAAATTTTGTAAAAAATAATTCTTTTTTTGACACCTTCCGCCCAAATCGAAATTTTATAATTCTCTGTGGCGTCAACTAGATAAGAGTCCAAGAAAAAATGTATTAAAAAAATTAAAGAATATTTTCTGGGAACATTGATGCCAATATTTGTTTGATATATAGTGGGAATAGAGATTTCTCTACTTTGGTGACTTGTAATAAAATTTGATGAAGAATTTTTTTGTCTTTGGCGACATCATTCTAAAGCAATGCTTTGTTGGAGATTTTTACACAGACTGACAAAAAGTACAGCTTTAACCCTAAAATGTGTTTTTAATATATATATATATAAAATTCCTGGCCTTTAGGTAAGATTTAGACACTTGACGTCTTCTAGAACCTATAGTAGAATTTTATGACAAATAATTTCGTAAAATATTTGAATCATTGCAAGTTCAAATTAAAGGACGGTTTAAACCATATTTTAAAAAAGGTCCAAGGAGACACCTTTGTTGGAGGTTCAAATTTTTTACCAAAATATTTCGTATTCGTAGTGTATTGTTATCTGCAATATTGCCGAAGGCTCTATATGTCTAAAAAGCAGTGATTCTGAGGAAGCTTTTCTGTGCAAACTTTCAAAGCGCTGATACATATGTCTTCGTTGTCAGCTCTATTTTCATAATCTGCTGCTCTTTTCTCCTTTTTTTTTTTTTTTTTTTTTTTTGTACATTGTTATATTTTTATTTGACTCAATATTTTATTCAAATCTTTGTATTTTTTACGCATATTCCTTGGGATCTAAGACTTTAGCTTATATAACTTCGAAATACCAACATTGCTCTAAAACAAATTCATTTATTTTTAAGAAAATTTCTTGACCTTGGAACTGATTTTCCCAAAGCATTGTTTCATATTAAAAAATAACAAATTCCATCTACTTAGTGGAAATAGTGAAAAATAGAGAAACTTTTTACCAATTAAAAATCTTCTCAAATAAATAAAATCTGCAGTCTAATCCAAACCATTTGTATAGCATATTTGTACCCCTGATATATGAAGTCTCAATGCATAAATGCAAAGATAACTCACTAGTTTGTTTAATAATAATACCATTTTGTGCCTTTCACACATATAAAAAGTGACTTTTCAAAAATCCTGCGTAAATAGTCTGGTATAAAATTTCATAAGTTTAAACTCTCTTCATCTTCTTATCAAGACTTATCTTCTGGCAAAGGAGTAGGCCTTACAACTCGTTCAATTTAAATCTTTTAGTATTGTTCATAGCTAAAAATGGCGAATTCTCCGTAAATTCGTCTCTTTCAAAATTTGAAGTTCTATAACGCAATAAACCATTGCACAATTTTCTAATGTGTATGGACTTCAAATTTTTCCTTTTCCTCAAGGCTGAAATCCTAGCAAGATTTCAATGTTTTATAGATATTTTCTACAAATGTATAACATTTTTACCTTCTCAATATTATTCACAAAAAGTTAAAATATATTTTATTTGCCTTAAAAAGGAGTGACTCTCATGTCAAATTTCATAGCCCTTGCTCTCATCAATAAATAATATGTTGTACTTCTAAGTATCCCAGCACGCCTACATTGATTTAACAGTAACTGTCGTTGAACTAAATAAATCCATAAATTCATATCATTTGTAGCGTTACCCAAAATTCGACGTAGCGTACACAAATATTCATCTTCACTACTATAGTAAAATGATTTGGACGTTTGTATTACCCAAATAAGACAGGACCACATCGTCAAATCTACGCAATAAGAACGCGTAAAAATTGATAATTTTTTAAATTCACCCAGTTGTAAAAATTTGTAACAACAATAATTTCTATATCCAACATACAAAAAAAGAAAAGTAAGATCTGTCCATTGTACAATGAAGAAAAGGTAGGCTAACTTTGAAAAATTGCGAAAATGGAGGTCTACCTTTTGGCTTGTAATGTCAGAATTAGTATCAAAACAATCAAAAAACCAAACAACTTGTTGCATTGATTTTGAATAAATAATTCAAAACCGCGAAAACTGAATGAAAGGTATTTTTTTCAAAATCATATTCTATATATCTCTAAAGGTATGTTAACCTTCACTCAAAATCTCAAAGCATTAGCTCTTCCAGATCTCTCAGTTATAGTGCTGTACTATTTTACACCTTCTAGTTCTTTTAATGCTCTCTAAAATAGGATTGCGGGATTATAAGCCGATGTGGGGTTCAGCCGAACCGATTTTTCTGTAATTGAACCGAACCGTGAAACAAACCATGGACTTAAAAAACTGTTGAACCGAACTAAAACCCATGCTACAATTCAAAAAAAAAAAAAAAAAAAAAAAAAAATGGACCGGATCGGTTCATCGGGATTAGGGATTTTGTGTTTTGTAAACAACTCGTATTTATTCTTTTTCTCATAACATCCTTTTAAATTCATATAATTAAATATATCTTTACTATAAATTTATTTACACATAACACTGAAACGAACCAAACCAAAAATACAATTCGTGCAGCCTGAAAAAAAATTAAAAACCGAACTACTTATGCGAACCAACTCAAATCAACAAGGAGTTAAAAAATTCTGCATTATCTCACCTTTTCCCCTTAAGAGCAACATCGCAACCTTTCCTTCAAATCACTTAAAATTAAAAGATTTCATTTTGAGATCATATTTTACATCAATAGTGCAAAATATCAAATTTCAATGACTCCTTTACACCAGAGTGGCACCGTACTACATTTAGAAATTCTAGCTCTACTCAAACGAATTTTGCAAAATAATTTTGGTTCGCCAGGCAAATATAAATTTCAGAATACTTGCTTTAGCAGTACAATATTAGTATACTTTACAATACAAAATTCACAAAAAAAAAACACTGTACATGATGCCTCGGACGAATGGAACCTTCAAATTCAAGATTTTAGCTCTAAAAGTCTAGAATTTTGCGACAAAAACCTACGTTAAAAGGGTAGGGCAGGATGTTTACATTTTAAAAACACAACACTGAAGCTAGATTCTTTCAAGTGGTTGCCTTGACTTACATTGTTTTCATTATACCATTGTCCTACCCACCACCAACAACTATCTAATTGTAGGTGCCAAACTTTAATATTCCAGCCCTAACTATTTCTTCTGACATTGTCAGTCACTAATATTTTACAATTTTATATGTGTAGATAAGCTTGCAAAATTTCTCAGATTCAAAAGTGTCATGCATATTAGTTCATATTTCAGGACACATTATTCGCTACAAATGTTTTAAAAGTGCAAATTGCTGATGTAATGTATAAAAGAATATTGAGAAGTTACTAGGACACCATTTTAGTTAGGTGTGCTTTTTCCATTAGGAAGTTTTCTATATTCCCCAAGGACCGAATATCAATTTAATTTATCGTGCTTAATATACATACTCAATATCTCCCCGTTTTAATGTCAATATTGAAATTTTTGAGGGGACAAACGTTTACCATGTTAATGTTTTCAATATGCAGTCACTCTTGGAAAATAGTCCCACAAGATATATGGATGGGCTCGATGCCACATCAAAGTGGTATAAAAGGTGGTCAATTAATTTCTTGTGTTTAATAATTATTTCATTAACCAGACCGGATGACAAACGAATATATAAGACTTATTTTTATATTAAAGTAGCTTTATAGAATACCCAACAACATTTGAAAGTAATGACACAAAACTCACAACATACAAACAACAATAAAAAAAACATGCATAAGCCACTTTTTTCTTCTAGGATTATTTATCTGAAATAATAATGGAAAAATAATTAAGTTTGGAAACTTCACTTCTTCTTCTCTTTCAACGCATTAATATATAAAATAGGTGAGAACATAAGCAATCATTAAGGTTTGTCGCGACACTGAATTTATGATCGATCACCTACTTACGCTGTGCAGCCCTGCAAATGATTAGTTTTTGTTCTCAATAAATTTTAAAACAAATCGAAGAAATCGAAGGAAGATCTCGTTGGAAAAGTGTTACGTTGGAATGTTTTATAATGTACGAGTTAGTTTTCTCTTTAAATTTGCTAAGTTTAGTTGTGTGTTTGTGTATGTATTTCGTATGGCGGCGACGCTCGGCAAGTGAATTAACTACCCTACCATTGCGAACAACATTTGACATTTGGCCATACGTTTTGCCGAGCGCAAAAGCTTGTTTGTTACAACTTACCCAAGGACACACGAGCTGGTACAGCACCTTGATCTAGCCAGAATGACACCCATGAGACAATTACCAGCATACAGCATGGGATATAAATTTGAATTAAGTAATATGAGAATTCTCGCTTGAATAGTAGATCGACTTTGAGGCAACTGTATTCACCTATGAAGTATACAAGGTACGAAAAAAAGCATACGGAAACAAATGATAGAACGTAAAATACTCGGGGTACAAAGGTGGTGGTGTTGGTTGTTTGGCAGTCAGTAAGATTTGTACAACATAAAATAACTAATTTGAAAGAAAAATTCAAAAGGAAATGAAAACAAAATTCAATTGAGAATAAAAAAAATATTGAAATTGAAAAAGGCGGAAATTATTAAAACCAAAACAAAAATAAAAGAGTTTAAAATAATATTCTCAAATGAAAATAAAATATTTATACATCATGTGGTTGTTTTTGTTGTTGTTGTTGTTGGTTTTTTTCTTTCATAGGCAAGTAGAATCAACACATCCATGGCAAAATTATGTGTTTGTGACAACAAAAATTTAACGGAAATGAAAGAATTCTGAAATGGAAATTGAGTTCCGTTCATTTCCGTTAACTTGTTGCCAGGGCGTTCCATACTCTTCAAGACAAAGTTGTTGTTTATTTTTTGATAAAAAAAAATTTATATTAAGTTTTTTTTCTTGTTGCTGCTCTTAAGAAATGTAATATATTTTGTTTTCATTTTCCTTGTTTTTCATTCACATTTATTCTCATATTTTTTTGTTTTTGTATTTTCGATTTTCCATTTTCATTTAGGTTTGGCTTTTTTTGGCAACATTGAAGTCTGTTGAATTTATCTCATCAATGCATCTGGCAGGCAAATCCTTCCAAATTCCAACCTTCAAAAAAACAATTCACAAATGATCGCTTGCTGTTGCTGTTATTTGTTGATGTTGTTGTTTGGAGTTATTTGTTGTAGTTGCATTGTGATTTAGATGTTTTTTTTCTGTCGCAGAGTTTCTTCTCTCTTTTCTCAACTGTTTGTTGTTGTGGTGTTCCTGTTGTTTCTCTGAGATTTGTTTTCATGTGTGTTGTTTAGTATGAGTTTTTTTTTTTAATTGAACGAACACTTGAAAAATAGTAGGTCCTCCAATTAACTTTACCCTTGTGGAGGGACCCAATATTGTGTAAAAAATCTATTCAAAAATATTTGTAAAAACTTTTTCTGAAACAGCTCTGAGGGTGATATATGAAAAAGTATTCCAAAAATCAAAAGAAACACAAACAAAACTAATTAAAAATCAAATTCATATCAATTATCTAAACTAATAGAAAATATTTATTGTAATCAAAAATAATTGCATGCATTTAGGTTGAGTGTGGTTTTTAATTGTTTTTATTACCTCGAAAAAAATCTCAAAAAATATTTAAATTATAACTAATAATTATAACCTGAACTTAGCCTATCTCTGCTATCATTCATTCACGAAAAAGTTGACATTATTTAAAAAATTAATGTTTACGCTTTCGGTATCCTCAGTTTAGCCTTGATAATGACAAGCAGCTCCTTCCTTCTTAAAGCGAGGATTTGAAATCAAAAGCGAACTGTGAAAACCACAGTTTTTATAAGCTGTAGTAATTACATTCTAAGCAGTGCCCAAGAGGACATCATGGGCAAGTTTATTAAAGCAAGAAACAACATTTGGGTAAATTAAGTAAAAATGTAGATATAGCCCCCTTCTCCCGTTTTTATAAAGGGTGTTTTTATAAAGATTTTTTTAATATGAATCCCTCTGTTGTTTTACAAGTGTTTTGGCGTTTAAAGTGACGTCTCTACTCAATATTGTTTGGCAAATCATCATGAATAGGTTAACTCCAGAACGCTTCCGTGAAAATTTATTTACAATTTAGAACAGTGTTGTCATATTTGTTCGGGATACCATAGTATTTTGTTGTTGCAAAATAGTCAGGCTTAATCCCATTATTGTTGTTTTTATAAAAACAATGCTTATTAGTGGAGTACCAGGGGATAAGGCACTTTGGGTAAAAAATGTGTTTTTTTGTTTTGTCATAGCCGTTATTTTTAAAATAACTCCTGATGAGAATATCCCAGACAAAAAAAAAGGGAACTGATGAAGATTGGTGGCCCTTTACGAAACCTAGGTATCCCCTGCCTTACCACCTGGTAAACATTACCATCGTTCTCCACTAATAAACAAACATTGTTTTTATATAAACAAAAATAATTGGATTAAGTCTGACTATTTTGGGAACAACAAAATATTTACTGTTTATTTAAAATTTTTCAAAGTTCGGCTAAAAATGTCTATAGAGCACTTCGTGAATTTTATGGTGCACATAGTTCACAATAAAGAACGTAATTACCATATTTCGTTCTACATTCACTCTTTTGTATGCCAAGTCGCCGAAAAAATGAGAAGAGTGCGTTCTGTCGTTGAGGGCAGTGTCGAAAAAAAACGACAATTTATCGATTCGTCACCCTGCTCAAGACGTTGGACTTTTTCCATCGTCGTCATGGAAAATATTGCGTAAGGATTTTAGTTTGGTGCCACACAAAATTCAATTGGTGCAAGAATTAAAGCAACACGAGCAACATATGCGCAGTGAATTTAGTAATTGATCGCTTAATCTATTAGAGGAAGATCCGCTTTTTTACCCCAAAATGCTCTTCAGTAACGAGACGCATTTTTGGTTAAATGCATATGTCAACAATCAAACTTCCGTATTTGGAGCAAAGATAATCCACAATCCGTTCAAGAATTACCATTGCATAACGATAAGTGTACTGTTTGGTCCGGGCTGGTGAAATCATCGGTCCTTATTTCTTAAAAAATGAGGAAAAAGGACGACGCGTTACCGTGAATCGAAGACGATACAGAATCATGATCAATGAAGTTTTGCTGCAAAAACTTCAAGATATGGATGTAAATAAAATGTAGTTTCAACAGGATGGTGCCACTTGTCATAACATAATGAAACAATGGACATATTCAAAAAAGAAATTTTAACGACAACATTATTTCGAGAAATGGGCCGGTGAATAAGCCTCCGCGTTCGGATGATTTGACGTCACTCGATTGTTTTTTGTGGGGATTCCTGAAGGTATTACTTTACGTGGATTAACCCGTAAAGATTGACCAATATTCAAAGTGTCATTGCTGAAATACACCCTCAAGTCCCTGAAAATCTGCTTGAAAATTAGACCTCCAGAATAACAAAATAAATTTAAATATTAAATGACAATAAGTTATCATCCAAATAAAACATTTTTGGGACATTTCATAATTTGGCATGTGTTTTATTTAAATTTCAAATTAGCAAGGTCTTAGAAAAACTAGGGGGTGTTTAAAGTCAAAATTTATGACCGATGGCTATATACTTGTCCTTATTTTTACTTACGTCTGCAGGGCGCGGAATGCCAGAAGGGTAGAGGTTAAAAAGGTTCCGGAGATCTCACTCCCCCCCCCCCCCCTCCGTCTTGGGGAACTTCCTGTTTCATATTTGATATATGCATGTGCCGACCTTCAACTTTCATTGCAATATCTAAATGTATAATATCTAACGAAATACTTTGCATATGTGACCTAACCTAGATTATACGTAAGATTTTTATATTTGGTGCCATTAGCTTGAATTCCAATTGTTCTTCATGTCCCTCAAGGTTGTAAAATCAAATACGAACTGGTTCGGAATTAGATCTGAATCCCAAAATATATTTCCTTAATTTTATAGAAGAACCAATTGGCACTGATGTCTAACTAGATTAACCATTAGACCATTAAATCAAGTTCCGACTAGAATAATCCATTTTATGGTCAGCTCGGTTTTGACTCAATGGGTACATTAGTAAGCGGAATTGGCTATTTTGTAGTGAAGAAGCATTGCAAAAGCCACCAATACATCCAGATAAACCATAGTATGGTTCGAGGTATGGTCTCGTGGCATTAGTGGACCATACTTCTTCGAGGAAGCCGAGAGTTTTACTGTGACTGTGACGAGTGTCTTATTGAGAAGTGAGGTCGGTGAAAATTTATTTCACGTTGATTTAACGCCTTTAGACTATTTTTTGTGGGGCTATGTTAAAGCTCTTGACTATATAGAGGTTAAAATTGACACATTGGATGACACAATATAAGCATTTGATACCGAAATAGTGTTCTTTATTTGAACACTAAAATGTTCCATAGCTCTTAAAAATCACCCGTTACATATGAGTAGACTGAAAGTATACGACGCTCGTTCCTACGCAATATCGCGGGAAAAGAAGACCGTGTAACATTTTTGAATTAATCAGGGATTGAAACAATGATATGTTTTAAATCAAAAATTGTTAAATTTTTGGTAAAAAAATACGACTTAAGAATCGTATCAAAAAGTCAACTTCATGCAAAACTAATTTCTAATCATTTATTTGAAATAAAAAAAGTTAACTAAAATGTGTTCATTCGAAGGTGTTTGTGTGTGAGTGAGCGTGTGTGTGTTATTTTTTGTCATTAAAAAATTTGATAGGATTTTATAGAGGTGCTGACTGGTAATGTCATTGCCTGTTCGATAGCCTGAAGGGAGGCCTAGAAGTGGCAAACTACATGACTGAGAGTACCAATCTTTATCGTTCCATTACTAAAGACTTTTAAAAACATTTGATATATTTCCCTGAATATCGTTGTTACGGAGTGCATATTACGGCTGTGGGTAACAAATATAACAAATCGGATGAACAATATATATCGGAGCTATAGCTATATCTGAACCGATCTTCACCAAATTTGGCGTACTACCTTCTAGACTCAATTCGGTCTTATATGTCAAATTCCTTCCCATTTGGGTAAATATTAAACGACACAATAAAAGGTAAATCGGACGAAGTTATATATGGGAGCTATATCCAAATCTGAACCGATCTCTATAAAATTTAGCAAAGGTATTTCTGAGCTTCATTTGATATATTTCTCCAAATATTGTTGTTACAGAGTGCATATTACGGCTGCGGAGGACAAAATCGGATGAACAGTAAATATGGGAGCTATAGCTATATCTTATTTTCAGGCCTAATTTGGTTGGTGCAAAATTCCATTCTATTCGGACTTATATTACACGTTTGGTGCACAATAAAAGGCAAATCGGACAAAGATATATATGGGAGCTATATCTAAATTTATACCGATTATCTCCAAAGTCCTTGGGCCAAACAAATGATTTGTGCAAAATTTCATCTCAATCGGATAATAAATGCGACCTGCATTTTGTTCACAAGAATACATGGCATGATATGATATGGCATGGTCATGGGTTGCTCAATGCATAAACACTGCCTTTGGGTTGAGTCACCATGACATGGTGTGACATTGAATGTTTGATTGGTTGCAGGACACTGTTATACTGTTTGAAACTGCGCGTATAATATGTCAAATTTTTTTTTCAGTTGAACTACGAGTTATATAACCTCCACCATTCTATGTGATTCCGTTGGTAACTTCTCGACGTAATTCTAAGACGAACTAACGATGCCCATCTGTCTGTTTTAATCACGCTATCTTTCGAAGGAATTGAGATAGAAGGCTGACATTTTGCATACATGCATAGTTTACCTGTAGGCAGGTTAAGTTCGTAAGTGGACCATATCGGTACACGTTTTCGTATAGCCCCTATATAACGTTACATCCCGATATTCGGCATTTTAATGATTTTAGCGACAGTATTTACCGGAATTATTTCAAATTTCATATTTGAAGTTCGTAATGGGTACTACAGTCTATGACAAAAATGTTTGTATGCAGGTCTAAGTCCCCGTATAGCCCCCATATAACGGTACCTCCCGATATTCGGTATTTTCATGATTTCAGCAACATTTTCACCGGAATCGTTTCAAATTTCGTATTGGAAGATTCTAATGAGTACTTCAACCTACGGAAAAAACATTGTGTATGAAGGTCCACGTCTTTGTATATCCCCTATATAACGGTACCTCACGATATTCGTTATTTTCATGATTTTAGCGACGTTATTTAGCGGAATGATTTGAAATTTCGTAATGGGTGCTACAGGCTATGAAAAAATTTTGTATGCAGGTCCACGTCTTCGTTTAGCCCCCATTTGGCAGTACCTCCCAATACTCGGTATTTTTATGATTTTTGCGACATTATTCACCGAAATTGTAACAATTTCGTATGTAACTGTCGTAATGGGTACTACAGCCTATGACAAAAAATTTCGTAAGCAGGTCCACGTCTTTGTATAGTCTCCATATAACAGTTTTCATTTAAGTGGTAGTTTCCGCAAGTTTTTTGAATATTTTCAAGTTCCTTCCAAATGGTGGAGGGTATTAAATTTTTTTTTTTACTTGTTTAATGGTGGCATGGTGCATGTGGCATAACAAATAAATGTTACCTCTCCTAATTATAACAGTTTCACTACCAAACGTATGGTCTTGTCAGCTGATCCTTTGAGATTTACCCATTTTCTTTACAAATCCTGGCAAATATTTAATGCTATTATTTAGTGTAGAGTGTATGTTGTATATGAGTAGAATATATATTTGTGTTTATATGTGTGTATCAGTGTATTGGAAATGGTGTGTGGTAATGGTGTATATTTGAAAATTGTAACAAACAACTTTTTCTTTTATAGGCACTAGTTTGGGAGCTGCTGGTTTAAAAATCTATTGGATTTTCCGACCATTTTTTCTGTTTTTTTTATTAACTCAATGAAGAATTACGTTAACAAAAGAAACAAGCAAGAAGTGGAAATTATATTTGAAAAAAGAAATAGGAAAGAGAATCTTAAACTCAAGTGAACTGATTTTCTGAAGTTAATTGAAAAAGTAATGAACTAACATTGAACAAAATTGATAAAATATATTTTTGCTAAAAACTTTATTCGTACTTAAAGAAGAAATGCGATTATGGAGCCAGAAAAACATTACTCCAAAAATCAAAGGCAAAAAAAAAATCAAACAAAACATACAAATTATATGCAAATCATTTTTAATGAATATAATTAAATTTTTTTAACAAAAATATTATGAAATTAATGTTTTGTTGTTTTTCTTTTAAGGTTATGTTTACGTTTCAAACAAATCCAACTGAGAGTATTTCATTTATATATTTTTTTAAGCAGAAATCTGACAAATATAGATAACAATTAAAACGAACAAATGTAAACGTACCCGTGTTGGTTTTACTGTTGCAATAATCAGTCAAGAATTTTTCGAGTGTAAAGCGAGGTAGGTGTAAGTTCTTTACCACTTGCACGGGATCGCCTTCTTTCCACAGGAAGACAAGATCATTTGTTGTCCAGCCATCTGGGTGAGAGTGTCGTAAACGTCGTCGTATAATTTATGGATTATAGATGAAAAGATCAAGTTACATTTTTAGATGAAAAAAAGGAAGATGCACAAAAAAGAGAGAAAGAGAGAGAAAAGGAAAATCATGTTAATAAATAAGGTTATTTTTACTTTGCGGTACATTGCAACAGTTGGAGTTGGAGAATTGTGTGTGTGTGGTTGTGAAAATGAGTTTCTCCAAAACGACAACAATCGTAGTGTGGAAAAGCCTTCAAGATCGAAAGAAAGACAGAAACAAGAACAGAACAGAACAGAAATAATGTGATAGAGACTTGAGCAACTTATACTTACAACTGGCCATACGTAGTGAACAAATTTGTCGATCCAAGGGATATAATTTCAAATTCATAGGGCAAGCCAATGTTAATGAGATACGAATACTATATAAAACAGAACCGTTTGGAAATATACGGATATAAACATTAGGCATAATGATATTATGGAAATGACCCTCTTTTTCATTTGAAAAGAACAAATCAGGCATCCAGACACGATTTGCTTCTGTTAGGGTCAAATATTTTAAACGACCTATAAAATTGTATAAAGTTTATGGATTAATATATTTCATTAAAAGTTGTTATCATAAGTTTACACATACACACACACATATACATATGTATTTATTAATAGAGACATTACACAAATGAAATGAAAATCGATAAGTATTTTGTATATTGGCAAATCTACAAAAAACTAAAAATTATTTAATTAATTAATTATTAATATATTTTATGAATACTAATAACAAAAACTTCAGCTACAATACAAAATACATTTTCTATGGAAAATGATTTGATAAAATATATTTCTAAAACAAAACGATAATAAATCAAAAAATGAAAATTAGGTTGATTTGATTTTCTTTTTTTTTTTAGTTTTTTTCAATTTTCACTTAGAGTATAAGATTAGTTTACACAATGCGTTTGAATCAGATGATTTCATTTAATTGATGTAAACAAAACGCAAACATAGCTGATTTGTATAATATATAGATAACCTTTACATACAATAAAGGCTAGTTTACACGATGCCAGTCGTACGATCTGTTATTCACATTTTCAAAGGCAAAGACGGCGACGACGACGAACTTTACAGTGCTGGGCAGTGTAGTGTGATTAGTCTCGGAAGGCTCGATTAGTCGAAACGTAGCTAGTTATTATTGCGTTTTGTTACCTAGGTTGGTACTGTACAAACACAACGCAAGGTTGTGTGTACGATACGTTTTTACTAATCGAGCCTTAAGACTTGTATTATATCTCTCTCTTGCGCTTGCTCTCATTTAATGGACGTTAAATTATGTATATTTCTTTAAATATGTAAATACAAAGATACATTGTTTGATATTTTCTGTTTAAATTATCCACGCACGCGGTATATAACTGTTTCTACAGTTGACAATATATTATTAAAAAAAAAAAAGGGAAACCAAAGTGGCAGCTCAGAGTGTTACTCTCATTTCATGGAGAGGAAATGTAATAAGTTTGCCTTCATTCTAGAGAGCTCTAAAATTGCAAAGATCACTCAAAATATTGTCACGAATGCAACCGGTAAAGTTAACTTAATTTTGATATTTTTCCGTAAAGTTAAACTGACATTTTTTGTTAGGAGGCATGTTCATAAGGAACCTAAGCATAATAATCAAGCAATTAATTGCAATCCGCAAAGAACGATTGTTTCAAAGGCTACTTCGATAACATTGAGGTGAATTCAAAGAAATAAGGAAAGGTTAGGAGAGCCGCTGGACTATCTTTTCGGAAACAAAAGGAATTATAAACAATGATAGAGGGGTTATCTCAGATATCACACTAAAATCTGAGACCTTCGCAGACCATATGTATGATGGTATTGACAATTACGGTAACCTTTATTGTTTAGCTTAAGTCGTTCCCAGAATATTGTAGAATGTTCGAATTCTAGATAGGATAACGTATAAATACGAGTGAGTAGGAGGACAGTTCATAAGGAACATAATATAATAATAATGACCTATAAATGCGAGTGAGTAGTAGGTCAAGGAACCTAAGCATTGTAATCTAGCAACTAGTAACTATCCACATATCGGTTCAGAGGCTACTTAGAGAACAATGAGGTGATCCCGAAGACATATGGGTAGGTCAAGAGAACCACTGGCCAATATTTCTGTGAAGTCTATAAATGGAATTATAAACATTAATAGGATGCTCACCTCGGATAAAACACAAAAAGCTGAGATCTTCGCAGACCATATACAGGACAATTATCAGTCCGAGGAAATAATAGACAATTTTTTCCGCAACGTGATCAACACAGCAGTGGAAGGTAGTGGAAATTTCGAGGCCTTTTGTGAATTCGAAGCATCAATGCATCTCGCTGGGAGGAAAATTGTTGATCCAGACATGGTCGGATCAACTATAACAAGAGGAGCACCGAAGAAGTCACTTGTGGTAAAATTTTCTAAGCCCGGAGCAGATTAAATCCTTAAGGGGAGCTATAAACCGATATCCTAGATATAACCCTCTGAAAAGCTTATTCAAAATTTGCTATTGCGCAGAATCAACCGAGTCTTGCTTTTTCGAATACAGAGCAAAACACTCAACAACCCTTAACCTAGGAGCCTTTACAACATACGTCCATGATGTTTTCAAGTCCGAAATGGGAACAATAGCAATTGGTCTGGACTTCACCCAAGCCTTTGATACGGTATGGCATTCTATACAAAAAGTAAACGTTTGGATTCTATGAACAAACCTCTCGCATGATTACAAGCTTCCTCCAGGTCAGAGTTGATGATAAACGGTTTCGGAAGGAGTTGTCAAAGCGGGGATTACTACAGGAACCAGTCTTGTAGAACTTGTGGACTGCTGTTAATGTATGCCGAAGACATTTTATTGGCGCAATAAGAAATAAGATAGCTGCGAAAGCACTGTGGAAAGAAGATTGAAAGCGTAACTAAATTGAGACTTAATCTCAATGTTGGAATGTCATCCCATACGACAGATTCAACTTCTTTCCAAAAATATGAATTATGAAAGGCTGTTAGGACTGTCGTCGGATGTAATACTACAAATCTACAAGCAAGTTATCTAAATGTTCATTTGTCGCTTGGGCTGATACATCTTCGGCTCAAATGGAAAAAATATGGATATGTAAAGAAGGATCTTGGCATCGTGTTTAGGAATGAGGCCAATGATTGATAACAATGAAATTGACAGACGGCCGCCCAATAAGAATATCTATATAGAATTTAGTCGTATCGACGTCTTCATGATGAGAAGTGCACTCAACTACAAAGGTAGGAGCCAAGTCTTAGAAAATAGGATAGTGGAGTAATTCCTGGAATATAAAGGGGGACTCTTCAACTCAAACTGAAGGAAGCACCTGCAACCCGCAGCTGAAGATCGACGAATATACTACCATCGTGGGTACCACCGATTTGGTACTGTGTCATAACTCCACACACATTTTGATCTAGCCGCAGATATCAAGAGCTGCCATTTATAGTTATGTTTGTCCATAACTATACTCCATTAAATGTAAAATCTTTCTAAACTGTATGTCTTTCTAGGAATCCATCGGTATGATTTTTCTTTGGGCACCATGACACAGAGAAAAATTAGATCCAATCACATACCAAAGGCATTTAACAAGGAAGTTTTCTCGTTACCGTTGCCCATAAATCGTTTTAATAAGTTTTATTTTGGTGCTCAATTTATTGCTGCTTATAATCCGTACATTTTCTCATTTTAGGAATCGATTCCGGAAAACAAAGCTGCCGAGGTTGTAGTTCATGATTTATTGTGTATTCTCTCTCAAATAATGATAATGCATTTATCTTCCGTATATAAAGTAACACTGAGCCAGGTTTCCCACACAAAAATTTTACTCTTGCCGTTCATTTGTAAAATATTCCGTATAACTAAAGATTTTTCTATAAAATCGTACAATTCAATAGTATCGTGTAAACTAGCCTTTGAAAGGAATAAAGGTTTGTTTAAACTATGCGACTGAATCAGACGATCTATTAAAAGAATCATTCCTCTCGGTCGACGATGAAATGCAATGATGGTAAAATGGCAGTTGGCTATAAAAATAAACCCGAGTTAGATTGAGATGGATGTTTACTTTTCTTTCGCTAGCAAAAATTTAAGATTGTTCCTGCCACCGCTATGTAGGAAATGTTCGTCTAACTGCAGATGAAATAAGTTAAAATGATTTTTTATAAAGACATACTCCTATTATAGAGCTGATTCAAGAACATGAAGTTGTGTGACAGTGTGACTCTCAAGCAAACCAAACGCTAAGTGGTAAAAATTAAATATAATTAGACCAGGACTGATATTTTCAAACATGATCGTATCAGTGGGATCGCAGTTGGATATTCCGATGTTATAGAAACTAATGTAGAACAACTTCCAACACGGTTTACTTTCATTGTCGTAAACGACAGCATAGTCCCTGTCCAGATTGAGAGACATTGATCCTTTTAGTAAACGTGGCCGTCTAGCTTTAGTTTGTTATTCAGAGCTTAGAAGACAAATAAGCTCTTGGATCTGTTTGAGTATTGCTTCAATAGACGACCTATTCACAACTAATGTATCACTCCAAATTTTATTAAATAGAATGAAAACTAATGCGGCAAATTGGGGTGAACGAAATACATAATGGAATGTTTCCCTTATATCCCTGTTCGGAAAGTTAGTTGAGCCTTTATTACGGAGGGAATTAGAACAACCGTGGAAATAGGGTGAATTCTACGGGCTTGTCAGTTCGATTTTATACCTGGTCTCAACACGATCTATGCCTTGACGGCTTTCTGTAACTTTGTTGGCAGATACTTTTCTTTGGTAACGCTTCTTTAGGAAAAATAGTGGATGAGAGACTCCTCAGCCGCATCCCTCTGGGATTTCTTCTCAGTCTGATATTATATAACATTTTTTCTTGTAATATCCTTCTCTCTGGCAGTTTTCTCCTGATCTATACGGATGATGTCCTGTTAGCTTTTTCTGATAGTCTACCCTAGTTAAGGGAGTTTAGCGCAATCTGAAGATGGGTACATAGCAGTTTCCTGTCTTGGATAAGATGGATGGATTGGAATCAGAACTTCAAGATAGATTGAATTGCTGTCATAATATAGACAAAGACTTGTCCAGGTTCAAACGTCGATATTGTGTTTACAGTGTAGTAAGGATGAGAGATGGTATTTCCCAAGATGTAAGGCTTTTGATCTATTGGCGAGTGACGCATATGTCTCTTCTGGGGGAAAGACAAAAAACATTTCCTCCTGCCTATAGATCTCGTTTCGGTAGGTCGATTTGCATTACGTGTTCCTTGATTCCACTGAACTGGTGTTCGTAAGAACAAACTTTAAGCTAAATGCAGGAAAATTTGCTACGGTATTACTTGTTCACTGTCTTTCCCAATTTAGGAAGTTTTATTGGCATCATAAGGTTCATTACAGGTCCTTGTTTCGGATAAAATGAAATTATTTGAAGTAGAACTTCACCAAGTCCTTTTCAGGGTCAAATGTCGGTATTACGTTTACAGTCGAATCTTAAAGATGAGGAGTGGTCTTTCGCAGAATGTAAGGCTCTTGATTTACCGATGGAATGGCTAGGTTATGGTATAGATGTCTGTTCTGTCCATCTATGATTGGGCGCCAGTAGACAGAGTAAACGTATTCATGACACAAACTGCTGTGGTCTACTTGGAAGTTGATAGATAATAATAAGTTGATAGACCATCAAGATCGGATGCATTTGCCACCGGGTACCTAGCTACCATCTATTGGCATTTCTTTACTTTAAGTTTAATGTAGATTTAGAATGTAAAATTTAACACATGTGTTTCGTATAATGTGGAATATTGAGGTTAAAGGGTAGTCGTTTCCAAGATGTTAGGCTCTCGATCTACCGACAGGAAGCCAGATTTATCATCGCCTATCCCTCCCCTTAACATTAGATTGAAAGGCTAAGCTTATTGGGAAGAATCTTATATAGATCTTATTCTTGTGTGTCGAACTAACTTAGAACTGCTCTGGCCAAATGTCAGTCCATAGATAATCGCATCGTTGAGGGTACGAGTAGAAGCTATGAGGATGCAAAATATTTACCGTTCTTTGCAAGTTGGATGAAGATGAGGGCCTTCGATTTTACCGTAGGAAATTTTTAGCTTCGGGTTAGAGCATCCTGATGTATAACAATTCCACCTCAGTTGGTGTTAGGTTGGTGAAAGTGTATTGTAAATATGAGGTGAGTTTTCCATAGCAGTCCGTCATTAATTTCGAGGCATAATGTGTAGTTGAATCCTGTAATTTGTTGTGTCCTCAGAGAGGCTGTGGCACTTGCAGTTAATATCAAGTAGACATAGTAAGGTTTAAGTCATTTAACCTATGTTAGTATTACGATTTGAATTTATAAAACGATCGCAGGATACATCGTAACCATATATACTCAACATAGTAGGCAAAATAAGCTAAGATTCCAAATATGGTAAGGGCTCTGAAGAATTTAGAAATACATTAAAAAGCTATGAATGAAATTCGGATATGACCTATCAGTAATGAAGTATAATCTCATCCTTTTCAAAGTATTCTTGTCGACATTAGAAATCTATGACAAGGGTCCAATGCCTACACTAATATATTCATGAAATTATTTGTTTGTAGGAAAGATTTAGACAAATCTGACATATATTGTTGTTGTAGAAGCTCATACAGCTGTGTTCGTTCTGTTTCCATTTTCTGACTCTATTCAATCTGTTTCTGCCTTTAAGTCCAGTCTCAAAAAGAATGCAACCTGTATGGGTTGTGTCCACAACGAGACTGGAGTTTGGTGAGTAGGCTTGGCTGGACAGCGAAATAGGTGCAGCAGATTTTCTGCACATCGCAGTTAATCTGGGCCCTGTAGGAATGTAGGCGGTTGCACCATCCGGATCGTAATTGAGCCAAAACTACTCGGGTTTGTCGTGGCAGCTCTCGTTTTTCAGCTACGACGGGAGGGGGATGGTACAGTATTCACCGTATATCCTTCAATCACTTCTGAGACCGCGTTATAGTGATATAGTGATAGGCCTGTTGATCTAGAGGCTCTCTCTTATACCTCTGCATGTCTCTCTCCAGATCATGACGTTTGGTTTGCTTGAAAGTAACCTGCTCTTAAAAGCTGCACTTTATTATCCTAGTTTTTTCTTCGATACAAATTAAAGAAATCTTCAAGATATTTTCAAAATTTCTGAACAAAGGGTTTTTAGGGTTTTTTAAATTTTTTATTTAATTTAATTTTTTTTTCTCGCGATTATTTACAAAACATATATTGAAAAAATATTTTATATACATCGAAAAAAGGTGAATGTAGAAGTATTAGAAAAAAGTATATATGATGGTGTAAGTAAAATGAAAACACATACATATATAAAGGAATCGAAATATATGGTACACCGACCCACCCTTTACAAAAAAATTCTCATTTCAGGATATCGTTAAAAAATGGAGATATTTTCACAGTTTCGTACATACAATATTTACATGTGACAAAAAAGAGTTTAAGATTTTGCGAAATCAAGCTGATAGCTCGGATATACAAATATACTATTTATAATAGAGTAGAACAGACATCTATGTAGGTGTTTTCTTTCTTTTCTGTTTTGTTGTAATTTTTTTCTTTGGATATCAAGTGTGTGCCCCGGGTGTGTCGGCTAGGGTGAGAGCGTGGTGTATAGGCGTGGCTTTGTGGGTTAATGTTTTTTTTTTTTTTTCTTTTGGGTGTGAGAGACATTTCAAGTGATTTCAGTGGATCACTGGAAAACCGTACGATTCAATCGCATAGTGTAAACTTGTCTTAAATTAATACAAACCTTGTATATCATCAAATTTTAAACGTTCATCTGTCCATTGTTCACGGAATGTTAGCTGTACACTGTATTCCTGTATGGCGTTGTTGTTGTTGGTGGTGAAGGTGGTGGAATTTTTTTTTTTTTTTGGTAGTTGTTTTGGTTGGTGGTCGTGTGAACGTTGGTGATTTATTTTTTTTTATTTTGATTTAATTTTTTTTTGGTGGTGATATAAAATGGCGATGGGCGGGCGATTTGAATTTGAGTTGAGTTTGTTTTTTTTTTTTGGGAGGACAATGGGGGATGGATACAAAAAATACATAAGTTGTCATTAATATATTGCGTTTATAAATATGTTTTTGTTTTTAAACAAAATAATATATAAATCTATTAAAAATATGTATATATATCATAAGAGGTTAGATGCGTTTCTATTAGTATTAAAGGGGAGAGGGAGAGCTAAGAGGGGGGTGTCAATTTCGTTTGATTGTTTCGATTTTGCTTGTTAGTAGTGGTGACCTGATAAGCATGAGAAGGGATCCAGATTTCCAAATTTTTGTTGGTTTTTGGCGGGGATAATTTTTGGCGAAAGATGGTTTTCAACCTGATTCAGATTTTGTTGGTGGTTGGTGGTAATAAGCAATTTTGGGTCCTGAGCTACTAATTTCAAAGAACAATGTTGGCGAGATTCAGTACCGATTGATTGATTGATTGTTTGATGCAGATTTGAGGCCCAATATGGAGAGAGAGAGAGAGAGAGAGAGAGAGGCAGGGGTTGCATTGGCAATTCTAGCAATGATTTCGAATTTGAGAATTTTGTGGTTTACGTGGCGAGGAGGTTTTTTGAGTTTGTGTCTGATTAGAATTTGATCTGATTCTGATTCGGGGGGGATTTCTTGGTTTACTGATATGTTATCGAGCATTCCAAAGCGCATGGCAACAACTTGTTTAATGGGGTTTTATTTTTGGTTTAATTATTACTTCGTAATACGGTTTTTGGTTTTTTGTTTCGTTTTAATTCAAGTTTAAGGCATTTCATTTAAATCGTAAAATTAAAGAAGCAAGAAGCGATAGAGTAAAATGGAGTAAAGAGCATGTCAGAGAAACAAGAAATAGCAATAAAAGTTAAGGGAGAAAATAGAAAGAAACAAAAAAAAAGAATAAGAAAGGCAAGGCAGGCAGACAGGCAGGCGGTCAAGCAAAGCAATTTCAAACATTTTACTGTGGCTTGCAGCATAAAACAGTCGATTAATATACAGGCATTCACAGAAATATATATAAATAACTCCACTCACACACAGTTGCAAAAAAAAACATTTAAAATAAATTTTACAAAATTCTTAAGCTTATCTACAGCTAAAAATATAATTTAATAATTGGTAATACACTTATATTCAACTGTTAACTTTACATGCGTCAGCAGAATGTATTTTAATAAGATTTATAGTTACATAAAAATTTAATTAAATGTAATAATAAGGACATCCATGCCATAAATCTATCTCGGTCTGAAGGTCTTTGAATGAAAAAACCCAAATGGCTTGACATTCACACAGAGATACATCCTTTTTTTGAATGTCCTTATTATGCATATAAATATTTAGTTCGTTGTAGTTGTTGTTGGTTTATATAATAGGTGTTTTATTATTGTTGTTATTATTACTGAGTTTTGTTTTATTTTTTTTTTTTTGTTTTTGGTTTTCATATTTCAAGCAATAATTGAAAATCAATAATTATCGAATGTATAATATAGTCGTTCGTTTATTGGTTTTTTGTTTTAAACGTAATTAAATTTTTCCATTTTAATTAACACAAAAAATGTGGTTAAACCGAACCAAAAAAACCGCAATAAATTAATAACAACATTGAACAAATAGCCTATTTTTAAATAAATATTAAATGAAACAAAATTAAATAATGCAAAAAAATATATATATGTTTGTATATTGGACAGTATTATGAACAATTTTAACATGGTTTCAAATTGAAATTATTTTTAATAAGAAAATACAAAAGCAGCTATTAAATTTTGATTCAGTTTCCAAGGAAGGTACTAAAAGAAATGACACGATCTGATAATTTTACCGAGTTGTCAAAACACTTATTGTGATTGAAATCATGGTACGAGCATAACTTGTGAGGAGAGGTTCACAATAATGTTGTGTAGTTCCCGAATGATCTAGTTCCATCTAACAATTCACTAAATCGAGCGACTTTAAATCGCCCATTTTTGTTGAATAATCAGCAATCAAAATATCTTCTGATAAACACTGACCAACTTTTTACGAAATTTGAGATCAAAATATACAATTGAACGAATCATTGAAAGGAACAACTGAACTAGTTTCGGACAAACTCATTATACAGGGTTGTCCATATTCGACGGACCCATCTGGCAACGCCATAACTTTTGACAGAGATGTCACATCGCTTAATGACATACTGCATTTGATTTTTACCGTGAAACAATACACGCCACGCGAGCGCTCTGAAATAGTTGAAATTTACATTCAACAGTAGAAGTCAGAAAACTCAACGTGCTTTTAAAACATTAAAAAATGTGAGAAGTGCGCCTTCTAAGAACACCATTAAGCATTTATACGAAAAATTTTCGACTGGTAAGGCTTTTTCTAATCCAAAGAGGCGATCGGCCGAGAATATCGCTGCCGTACGAGCCAGTGTTGAGAGGTCCCCAAGAACATCCCAAAAACGCCGTTCTTAGCAGTTGGGCATGGCTCGGTCCACTTTACAACGGATTATTCGCATTGATTTGCGTTTGTTCCCGTAAAAAATTCAATTGACGCAAAGAATGTTGCCTGCGGACAAGCCTCGTCGATTGGAATGCCTTGGGGTCAAAAGTCCGTCCGGCCCAAAGGTCCGTCGAATATGGGCAACCCTGTATGATTCCATATTAATTTTTGGGCCAAATGTGCAATACAAGTCCGAATTTAAAATATACAAATGCTTCTGCATATTTAGTCCTTTGAACTTTAAATTATAATTATAATCATGGCGTGTTATTGAATTCTTCCATTACAACTTTTAATTGTTATGTGGAGCTCTACTAAATTAGGGTAGGGTATTATAGGATTTTCTTTACTGTCTTTATAATCAACCGAATTTTATAATTTGGCGAAACTCGGTCCGGTATATCTATTGCTCCAATAAATATTTTTTAATATAATCCTTATCGAAGTCATATCATGCATTAAATTTGTTGAAAATCGATTCAGAGTTGGATATAGTTCCCAAATTGTTACTACTCTAAAGCCATGATACGCATTGAAATAAGGTCCATAGTTGGTATGATCTGCTTCACATAAATTCCCAATATAAACGTTTTTGTTACGTGAGCTCTACTAAATACGCCTAGTGGTGTAGGGTATCATATAAACGGCCCCGCCCGACTTTTGACCTTTCCTTACTTGTTTTTATAGGATAGACGAACCATAAATCTAAAAAATATAATGAACGACTGAGTCACACTGAAACAAGTTCACATATCTTAAAGATGAGAGTGTTGCAAACCCTTTGAAAATCAAATGGAGCTTTCCTCCTTTTTTGCTTGATGGAAATCAAGACAAGAACAACAAAAAGGAAAGACTGTATAGAAATCCCTATCTTACGTCAGAATAGAAAATAAACATTGTATGAACTAACTCTTTGTGCAGAGATTCAGGTAATTAAAACAAAGGAATGAGAAACTGTGCTATCAACTACAGAAGGTGATCAAAATTGAAATCTTTCCTGAAGATTTCCAACACCATAATACCCATTTGAAAGGGGGCAAATTAAATATAGTAACAGGAACATGTCTCAAAATATTTTCAATATTGAATTGTACCATGGCAACGACCGAAAAAAAAATGTCAGAGAGCATTGAACTTACTACGGCCCATGGAAAATCTGGAAAAATTTGGAAGGTTGTAAAAAAAACGAGTTTCCTCGTTTGACTAAAGAGAAGGAATGAGATAGACAGTTCAGTACAAAATGTATGGCCTTTCAAACAAGATGTTGAATGTGAAAAATTTAGGAATTTTGTACAGGATAAAGCGCGATAATACCCTTTTTGTGACATGTCGGCGCGACTTTTCCATGTCCAGCATGAATTGGTGGAATGATGGCACTTTTGTTCGATCAAGACATATTTAAATTGTGCTATCTATTAACATCGCATTGCATTTCTTTTTATAAAAAGACTACCAAATAATGTATCCACTTCCATTTGTCATTGGAAATAATCCATCACGTGAAACATGGCTTATGTAGCCCATATGACAATAAATTTTTCTGTCAAAAAACATATTGTGAAATGAAATCCAAAGAGACTCAAAATTGTTGTCAACAGTCCTCTTATTGCCAGACCTTATATAGGCCTTGGCTTTGACTTGAAATAAACGGAACTGTCAAGAACTGAAAGGAATTCCAGATAGTTACGAGCGTTGCAGGCTCATTAATGGAAGTTTCGTGAGAGGCCATAAACGCTACATTATGTTGGCATTGCGATCTGCTGGTCTGGTTTAAGTAACTTTAATCGAACTTCTATAGGTCTGGAGTTACGCATCATTAAAAAATCCCCTTCGACTTCACATTAATAGAGAACAATATGATGGAGAAGGTAGGAGATATCACAATTGACCATCCTGTTGAAACATCTAAAATATTTTTAATTGAAAACTAACTTGAAGTTACGCCGATTCGGAGGAAAATCTTTCACTAATATTAGACTTGCGAACAAGAAGCCTTCCGAACAATTGTGTGAAATTTGGGTAACTATTGATAACTATTTTCTCAGGATTAAGGTCTAAAATGGCATTGAGCACCAGGCTTTAATTCAACGACTTCGCAAACGAAAACAATTTTTTACGTTAGTGAAGGTGTAGAAAAATTAGAATAAATAGCCCACAAGGTAAGTTTCCTTTCTTCAGTTACTCGTTTAGATACATTACAGTGGAAATAATTTACAATTTTTACGCAGATTGGTCCCTTTAGGAAATTCAGAAGCCGTAGTAAATCAAGATTCCCAACGAGTTCAAAATCTGCTAACAAACCGAAGACTTTTTGTTGGTATAAAATTTGGCGGAAAAATGACAA